GTAGGCGTTTATACGCCAAAAAAATTGAAGAATGGTCAGAATTCATTGCAGAAGCTAGTAAGGCTTCGCTATTCTTGTTTACTTTCAAGATAAACCCTGAAATTTCATGGAATACTCCTGCCTCATTCACGGTGCAGGCGTCTGCGAACAAAGGTCGCAAAAAAGGAATATTTTTCGCGCCAGAGGTGGTAAATTGGATTCGATTCAGATCTGCTATTGTTGAAAGTTACCTTATCACATTAGCTATCTGCATGTGGAGCTTCAGTTCTATATATCCAAGAATTATCTTTTTTTTTTCCTAGGAAATCACTTTTTGTTTGTCTTCCTCGGTGTTAAAATACTCTCACATGACCATCAACTGCTCCACGGTTAACAGTCTACTTGTTATATATCTACCCAATGCCTTCATGGACAATATGCAGCTGTTGAAAATTCGAAACGTCTTCAAATTGGTTTTTTACCCATGCCGCATCCCAGCAGTGGGACGCAATGTCCCACGCGGCAAAAAAGGTGCGTCCCAGCAGTGGGACGCAATGTCGCCAACGTGTTAAGATATCACGCGCGCTCTCCCACTGAATGTCGAGCGGTAACGTCTCTCAGCACTGTCAATGCAACGTGACAGAGTTGCCCCAATGGGTTTTCTGTGCTCGAGGGATTGACGAACTTCATACCGTTCGTTCAGAGCTTCCTCGAAGAAGTCTGACCAACGTGGTCGTCCAGGTGTTCGCTTGACATCCCGTGGAATATGGTCGCTGTGGTCCAGGGGAGACGGGCAAGAGAATCGTAAATTGCCGCTTCGTCGCGCGCGGCAATGGGCGCGACGTTTCCTTAATTTGCACTACCCTTTCGATTGGAGCATCGGATTTCATGTAGACAAGGACATGGTAGACACTTATGTCTATTTTCGGTCATACATTGTCTGTTCTCGACCAATAGCACTGGAAGTTTTCTTCATTAGCAGGCACGCGACGCCCACTGGCCCAGTGAATTACAATTCTCTTGCCACATACCCGTGGACGATCACTTTTCATGAGCATGACGTGCTCGGCTCACCTGACCTGATCTTGGAAACTATGGAACTGGCGTCCCTGTCTTTAATTGTCGACGGAGTGCGGAGCTCCAGCTTTCCCCTCTCACTTGCGTGAAACAGGGAATTCCGAGCAATCCCCCTTCGATGCTAACCGCATGCTCATCCTGCTTTCGTAGAGTCCAAGTCTCTGAGGCGTACGTCAAGGCAGGAAGGACCGCGGAATCGAAGAGGTGGGCACGGAGCTTGGTGTTCTTCGTCTTCTTCGCTACTCCCTCGATGTTCTTGAAGGCTCCCCAAGCCGCTCGCTTTCCTCCTGCTCAGCTCTGGTGCTAGGCTATCTATAAAATGCTGATTTCCCGTCAGTTGCACACCAAATCGATTTCTTTTTTACATGAGAATAAAAAACACCATTATTGGCCGTAGAGGGCGAGAATATCAATCCTCCCAAGGTCTTCACTGTTTCCCATAACGCGACATTCTTCTGATTGATGGGACGACTCAAACTCTACTGTGAATCTCTTCATAGTAACAACATACAAGCTGTAAAAGAGAACTTCATTAAGCACAGTATTTCAAAGAGTTAGGAAACCGGGGGTCATTCTCTCAAATATAATAGAAAGGAACTCAAAACTGATGGGTACATGCAATATAGCACAACATCACAAAACCCATAACATTTGTCAGACTACATTTTAACTCTAATAAATACAAAAAAGGTTATAGACACATCACAGAAGAACCGACTCCAGCTCAGAACATTGTATCAGCTTCAACACCCTGGACTGTTGGTCAAAATGAGCAGAGATCTCGTGCGTTGATGCTGCGGTGTCGTTCCTTGGACCTGTTCTGCGAAGGCGATTACAAAGAACGAGCACGGCAGCATCATGGCATAAGATCCTCGCTCATTTTGACCAACTTTCCCGGGCGCTGCTCCAGTGTTCTGAGAATGCAGGAAATGTGAATGAGGAGCGAGTTCTCAAGGTTAGGAAGAGCATCAAGCGGCTCCGAACGAATAGACTTTGACGAAACGGACAAATCGCTTGAACTAATTCAACATAGCACAACGACAACTACGTTCATTAAATTGCCCTACAACCCATGTGATAAGTAATGGATCGTGGCAAGCTGAAACTACACATAGAACGCTAGGTATTGGCCAAAATAGATAGAAACCACAAGTAAGAATCCAGATAACAAAAAAAAAACTCGAGATGAAATGAGCCGTCAAAACGATAGGAACACAGTGGAGATTGTGGCGCTGCTCATTTCTATCTGTATCGCACCTCGGGATATGAAGGACTGATCACTCCCACGAAGCCCAAGTCTAGGCTATGCGACAACATTGATGTGAACTATTGGAGAAAACTGTTGAACTCTGCGCTGATTAGGAGAACGCTCTCATTGTCCAACCTGAAATCAACTTCAATCGTAGATTCGACAGGAATACTGCGGATACTTTGTGGTTTGAAAGATCCATGTCGCGATATTGTGCGCAAAATGGCTATTGTTACTAGCTTGTTGACTCGACTTATAATAGTATTTTGGCACCAAGCCAATTACTTTAAGGCAGTTCACGTCCTGTACCGTTTAATTTAGGGCCTTCTCTGCGAAAATCAACAATCAATAAATTGTTCGGTTCTATACGAGCTGTGGAGATCACTGGGCTAAGAGTTTGGTCAACCTACTTAGACAGTCTATAAAAAACTTACTACGGAAGTAGCAATTGTCAAAATTTCGAGACAAGGTCGTGCAGGATACAGCGTAGCAGGCTATGTATGACTGGTTTC